CAATGTCAGAAACATCATCTCTGATCTCTGTGTCCCTCTTTTGAGAACCCATGGACAAGCTTTGCATTCAGCAAGGCAGCTCCATAAATGATGCTGAAAGCCAAGGGCATGGACCCCAAAAAAAGCCTTCTGTGTGCCTTGGAGTGACATCAAACCCACACCTGCAACACAGCAGGCCATCCTGCGGCCATTCAGAATCACCCTGCTGTAAATTTCATCAAGTCCAACCAGATCCATTTCTCCCCTCCTTTACACTGCTGACCTCAAAGAGCAGGATTTTGCTCTGGGATAGATTCACATGATAATATATAAAACCAACCAAACAAAAAAAGCAGTAAGTTGTTATTTGAAGGTAACTCAATATGCCCTGGCACAAGTTTTATCTCCCTTTTCAACCATATCCAGCCCAGAATCTGACCCAGCACTTGGAATCACAGTGAAATTTCCCTCCTTTGGCCTTAATCTCACCTGAGAGCTACATGAAGACCTATCTCAAATACTGACCAAATTATGCTGTTTGTCTTCACAGGAAGCCTGGGCAGGCAAAATGCTTTAACTCTACCCCAGCTTAATTGTATATTTGATGACTAAACTTCGTCAAGCTCAGCACCATGAAAGAGAAGTTATTTCGACTCAGGATCAGACTTCTGAACTTTAATCCTCCTTGTATTGATGCAACAGGGAAGTGAAAGCTGCTTTCCCACACAGAATCACAGTGGGATTGATCTTCTTCGTCACCAAGCCCAGGTATAACCAGTGTTCAGAGATTTCCCCATTTTTGCACCAGCCTATCACCAAATCAAAATATAGACCTGGTTCTCTCTCTGCTGTGTTTCTTTCCATCTCCACAGACTCCAGCTCACAGATCTGCACACAGAAATGCTCTGTTTGAATTTCCATCTGTCAATAGCATCAAAGCAGAGCCACTGCTGCAATTCCAAGCGTACAAAGCAATTCCCTCATCCAGTGTCTTTAGCTCATTCCAGGATGCATTACAACAGTGCCAGGGGAGCCTGGGCTCTGTCAGCTCAGCTGGAAATCTGCAATCTGCACAAAAACCCCCTGAGTGTCAATCACAGGACATCCCTGCTCTTTCACAATGCATAATTTAGCTACTACACTTGTCAGGTTCTCCACGCCCGATGGTGGATGTGGCCATGAACTCAACTGTCACCAGCAGAGAAAAACACACATGGAAATGAACAGTCTAAAGAACACCTCTTTTCCTTTCAGTAATCAAAAAAGTTTAGTTAGGCTTCAATTTTTAATGCCCAGTGGATAAAAGGGATGAAGGATGCTCAGTCCAAGGGATGAGGAAGGCAACAAACTGCACTTGGAGGAGGAAGAGTTTTGGGTATGACATAGGAAGGGATAAATTCTATTCCTGCTACCATTCAGGTTGATAAAATGGGGAAATTTTAACTAATTGATGGAAAATCTACCTTACATCCCACCCTTACAGTGCAGGAAACAAAGGCTCCCACACCACCAGGGCCCTGCCACTGCCAGTGAACTCTGCAGGCTGCCCTTCCTCACATGAATTACAAGTGCTGAAGGGCCTTGTCAGGAAGGATGAAAATTTCACACTCAGCTACATCAGGCTGTAGTTACCCACTGCTTACACCACAGTTAATATGCAATAAAGAAGAAATCTCTGTCCCAGGACGTGACATTAGAGCTGATCACTGCCAAAGCTACAGACCATAAGGACAGCTTCACACTTGCCTCAGCTAGTTCATGAATAAACATCCAATTCATTCAAATGAGTTCTATATTAACTAATTTAAATAATTTTCATTTTGCTTTGAATGGTAAACAGATCTATTCTGCCAGGATAGTTGAGTTTGCAATTCAAATTACACACCGATTTGTAATGAGAAAAATATAATTAATGGCAGAGCTTGAAGTAACTACAATTTTACTCCTTTGATTTCCTGTGTAGGAGGGGGATGGAGCATGAAGCTCACAGCACACGTGCACTCACATCATCCTGCCATAAACCAAGACATTTTATTGCCACCTCAGGTATTCCTGGTCTGGTGACTGCACCATCACGTCACAGGAGGACAGAACATGACTTGACATTTTACTCACAGGCCACAGGCACCATGATGTAACTAATGTCACCCCATAAATAACACGGCAGCAGTCTGCAAATTAATCAACTTCCTTCGATTTGGATCATAAACTACAATTATTTGGCAGCTGCCTCTTAAAAGCTCTGTGTGTGCTGGACTTTAAATCAAGTTCTATTGATCTGCTGAACTGAACCAGCCCATTTTGTTGCATCTCTTTCTCATCTAATGAAATTCTTTGTCCCATCACTCCACCATTCTTGTCTGGCAGCACATTTACGAGATGAGCACCCATCAGTCCAACCTGACTCGTGAGCAGAAACAAAGCACTGTCCCAGTGCTGCCATCCTGCCTGTTTAACAAGTTCATTTTGGCAACTCTGCTTTTTAACCAAGGCCTTCAGCTCCTGATTAAAATCACAGCCTAATGACACACAACCAGCCCCAGCCATGCTGTAGCCAACAGATACAGCCACTGTAATCAAGGTGTGCAGAACTGATGCCTTCACAACTGGGTCTGTGCAGTTTAACGCTGGTTTTTGTTTCTCCACCCAAAAGTCTGACCACAAAATAAAGAGGTTTAAAAAAATCTCCACATAGAGAACATAGTTTCATAGAAAACATCAGCTTCTCTTTTACCATAGGTGCTATGATTCTTTAAGTACTGAAGGTTGAGGTCCTCTTGAGCATTTTAGATGCCTCATTCCAAAATGAGCCAAGCTCTTAAATGTTTAAATCTCTTTTGGAATAACAACCCATGCATTTAATTTCTTCTTTTTAAAAATTATACTGTGACATATTCAACCAAGTTTAGTCACTGAAAATGGGAGTGGGAATGAGAAAATAAACAAAAAAAGCCCCAAACTAACAGAACAGCTGCCCACATGCAGCACCCTGGTGTCCAGTTACATCACCCACCAGAGGAAAAGGGATGCAGGGCACACTGAACACTGGAAGTCAGTCAAGCAAGGCAATTCACACAGAGTGGCCACGACCCAAAGGGCAAATTCCAGCAGATCCATGAAAAGCATTTGCCTCAGGTTATAAGGGAATTGTTATTTTCTATTATGACATTCAGTAAATTCTCTTACCCCCCTGACCCTCACTTTTGAGATTTGGTGTGTAGCACTGTACACCTTTCTGGTAACACTGATTGTAATCCACATAATAAAATGCAGTTTAAGAGGCCAATAAAATAAAACACCTCAACCCTCTCACATCAGCTTGATTTACTGGTACCAAGCCAAGAGATTTCTCAGCTGTATTTATCTTCAAGACTTCCTTTTTTTTCCCCTTTTTTTTAAGCAATCAATCTTGTGTTTATTCAAAACACACAGACCAGAACAAAAAAGACAAGTTTAGCTCACAGTTGGGCACATGCAAGGTAGGAATGTCAGCTTTGATTCAAAGACTGTGTGTACAGCTCACTTCAGGAGGAAGGCAGGAACACTCACTCCAGGAGAATTCCCACATGGCACACAACTGGCACATGCACTGTTTCCAGTGCCCACACAGCAGAAAGGGAAAGGGTAACTTCAGCAGCACAGCCCTTAAATGAGACTTTCCTTAAATGTATGCACAAGCTGGAGGCTGAATATTCATCTCTTCTTCCCTTGATGCAGAATAAATGGGATATATGGCAGGAATACTTAGCAGCAACACTGACAATATGCCTGTGCTTGGAGCAATGTAATAGCAAGGATACACCACAGCTGCTCTGTTGATGCACATAGCCTATATATACATTTATATATATATTTATATTTAAATACCTTGGGGATCAAATTGTATTATTAACAAACTGCTCCACATGGGCCACTCAGAAATCCACAACACTTCCATTCAGCTTTTGTGCACCTAAGAGCTGCCAATCAGGACATGCCCTAAACAATAATGACCAAATTCTGCTATCTTTAATCACGTGGATCTACCAGTGGAATTAAAAGCTGACAGAGTCTGGCGATGGAAGTTTTTAAATTTTCAGGGCAAAACCGTTTTGAGTGCAAAGTCAGCTTCTGATTTTGGTTACACCCAAGCTGATCTTGCTTATTTTAGGTTGTTCTCACTCTTGAATTTCACCCCTCCTTTCCACAAGAACAGGACTTCTCCCTGAAGTGAAAATCACAGCATTACAGCTCAGCAGTAAAAAGACATTTCCCTATGGAACCGCCTTCTGTTGTCAACAACTAGGGCAAAAACTCCTTTGCTGAAGGCTGACTGGCAAACTGAATCCTGCGGGGACACAACCCTGCCCACATCACCCAACAGCAGCCAAGGACCTGCAGTACACATCCCACGTCCCATTCACAATCTCTGAACAATCCTTTCACACAGGATTTCGCTCCTGGGAAGCTCAGAAGCCTCAGAGAAAAAGGAAAACAATCATTATCTCATTTGCTTCTCCTGTGTTGGGCTCATGTGGAACGTGTTATGAGATTGTTTACCCACAGGTGTTTGTTTCATTGGATTCCGGTGTGAGTTGTTTTGACTCTTTGGCCAATCAGTGCCAAGAGAAAAACGAAATCAATTATTAACTCATTTGCTTCTCCTGTGTTTTGTTCACGTGGAATGTGTTTGGAGATTGTTTCGTTGGTTTCATGTTAGTTGCTTCCACACTTTGGCCAATCAGTGCCAAGCTGTGTTGAGACTCTGGAGAATCACAAGTTTTCATTATTATCTTTTTAGCCTTCTATAAGTATCCTTTCTGTATTCTTTAGTATAGTTTAGTATAGCATTCTTTAATATAATATAGATCATAAAATAATAAATTAGCCTTCTGAGCACATGGAGTTCTCAGATTCATCATGCAGTCAGACTCATCATCCTCCCTTCATCAGCGCACCCCGCAAATCCAACAATCCCAGCCCAACCAGAAACCTGGAGCCCAACAGCAGAGCAGGACCCCAACAGAGCAGGCAGAACTCACCCTCTGGGGGCATCAGGACCTTGTTGTTCTGCGTGCACCAGCCCACGGGGTGCAGGTCTGCTGTCATCACGTCACACCAGAAGTCAGCCCTGCGGTCGTCGCCGTAGCCGCAGTAGCGCAGCAGCAGCAGCTGCCCGCACGTGGTGATGATGGTCGCCACCCAGTACGTGTCTGGGCTGCTCTTGTTGGCCACCTCCAGCTTCATCCCTGGCTGGAAGCTGCTCTGAAGGCTGATTTCAACCTTGCAAAAGGAGAAAGGAATGGTGTTAACTTTTTCTGCTTGGTAGGGAGATCCCCTCACGTCACCTCCCCTGGGAATGCTGCCCTTGAAGAGCAGCCCTGGGATAGGACATGAGCTGATTGTGCTTCTTAATCCAACCACCTCCTCCTCCTTCTCTCTGGGCAGTTCCTGTCCTACTTCACTGGCTCATATCCCATCATGCAGGCACTGAAGTGCAGGAGTGGTGCCTTCAGGTGTACAACATCCAAGAGAGGACTAGCACTCATCTTCAAGCCCTCAATGTCACCAATGCCTTGGATACAGCCAGCATAACCCAAATGAAGCTATATTTCCCACATGCAGGAGTGGTGTCCTCAGGTGTACAACGTCCAAGAGAGGACTGGCACTCATCTTCAACCCCTAAATGTCCCCAGTGTCTTGG